TTGGTAAAACTTTCTTTCTCTCCCCAGTCTTCCACTGCATAAAAAATTCAAGATGGCGGTTAAACTTTTTTACGATGTGAGCGCTCGCTCGAAAAAATCTCGCCTGCTCTGCAGGCTACCTTTACACACGTACTGTACAGTAGTTACATACAAATTACATACTACTTGACTCTACACCTACATTGTATATTACACTACTACACACTACTACACTACTAAGTAGGTTACTTAATTACGTTACATACTACTTGACTCTACTTTACATCCACATTACCTACTATACTACTACACACTAATACACTACTAATACTTAACATCCAAAAAGAAAATAAAACTAGTGAGAGAATCTCAGATAGTGCCAAGTGCAATTTACGACTCTGATACAGTAGTCACATAGGTCCTGACCCATGCCGCTTTCTCCCTTGGTGGTCAACTAGGCCTTTTCCTCTTGCAGAATATGAGCTGACAGAAACTTGATAAGACGTAATCTCAGCATTGTGTATGTTTCATGTTTGTATTTTCTTTCAAGGCCCAAAAATAACTTACAATTACCGTTTGTCAAGACGGCTTCGAATTTTATTGTGGCGTTTTACGCTGAGTTTCAGGCATTTTAAATTTAAGAAGACGCAAAAGTACACAATTTTACTTTTCACGCCAAGGTATGTAACCTGATACTTTTGTTTTCCTCGCCAAGGTATGCAACATAAAACCCTTCTTTCCTCGAAAGTATATGGCCCGTTCCAAACGCCGCTCCATTCATGCGCCGAACCTAACTGATGAATTAAGTACGGCAGAAGAGCGACGTTTGAATCAGTTTGGTTCGGCAGGTTAAGTTTGGTGCGGCAAACAATATTAAATTAGGCAGGGTCTGTCGCACTATGCGACGTTGGAGCGGCAGCTGATTCATACGGCGTTCTCCTCATGTGTCGAACCTAATGCATAAATTACTGTAATTTATTTTTCATATAACGGGATTCGTGATTGGCTCAAAATTGAGTGGCGTGACCAGTCATGCATGAAGCTCAAAGTCGTCTCTAAAAATAAAGACAACAAAATACCAGTATGCCTTCGACTTATGAGAAACGGGACTGTGCAAGCGAGTTTCTTTGGCGCAAATTCATTTTTTTGCTTTTTCGTCGTGATAATAGCCCAGCTTATTAGATTTCCCTTTAACAAGTCGATTTAACCGGGAGAAAACCTGTCTAGATACAAACACTGAACCTTGAGGTTGAATCTGCTTCCCTAAATATTGCTATAACAGCATGATAACAGCGAAATGTTAGCCACAGCTTTTCTATTTGGACAGAGTTCTTGAATTCAGAACGCATATTTTCTCTTCGAAAATTGTTACCACCGGCTTCCCGAATTAAGTTCGACGCAAGTACGCCGTCTGAACCAGCCGTCGCTCCAAAGTCGCCCTAAAGTCGAACTTAATCAGGTTTGGTTCGGCACATGAGTGGAGCGGCGTTTGGACCGGGCCTAAGAAAGATGCGTATTTTTTTTAACTTACTGCTGGAGATAAATGGAATAAAGCTAAATATCTGATGGAAAATCGAAGACGAACGATTTTGTTTTATTCCAAACGGAAATTTTCATTATCAAATAGTCACGTCCAGTCACGGAATAGTGCATTCTTATTCATGTCAAACTAATATACAATCCTATCTATTAATACAACTGAGGAGCGTTTCAATGGGAAGTATTGAACGTAGAGATCGTTACTTGGTCGAAATTATCTCCTACATCCTCCGTGAGAGGGTCATCTCAAAGGCTGATGAAATTGATTGGCGGTTTCATTAAGTGCCCCGGCGTCTGCGGCAATAATTGCGAGTTTCTTGTGTCACAAAATTACTAGTTTTACATGTAACTAACGCGGAAAGTTTCGGCTGATTATATGAAGTTTTTGCTCCCTTCATAGAAGAGGAAATAAACAAGCCGCTAAGGAGAAGCATTTTTTATTTGAACCTTGGCAAACACACAACAGTACAACAGACGAAATTTCTTGGATCGAGGTGAGGGTGATTCCAGAAGATACGCAGTCACAGTAGCGTTATTTGCACTAAAAAAGGGAGAACTTGACGTTACCTGAAATACAGTTGCTATGCCCGGTCAAAATAGTCCGGTTCTGGCCCTATCTCTGTCAAGCAACGTTACGGTAGCGTTGCGACACTGAAGGTTAACTTATCTGCGCATGCGTTTCGAGCAAATTGCTTTTGTTCTTAAGAGAATAGCATCACAGGGATAGCAAGAGATTTGCAAAAATATATATATATCTTTGGCGCGACTTTTTTTGCAGGCGCAACTTTTTTTTACCGGCGCGACTTTTTTTTCTGGCGCGCCTTTTTTTTCTGGCGCGACTTTTTATTGCTGGCTCGACTGTTTTTTTTCTGGCGCGACTTTTTGTTGCTGACTCGACTTTTTTCTCGGTAAGTACTTTTTATAGTGTATTTAGAACTTCTTGTTACTTCACTCATATTCCCCGTGCTTCCTTACATTCCTCCTTATATTTTCTCTTGTATTTTCCTATATATTCCTCTGTATACTTTTGTATTCCCCTGTATTCTCTTGTTTTCCCCGTGTTCTCTTGTACTTCCCTGTGTTTTCTTGTATCCCCCTACCTGTATTCTCTTGTGTTTCTGACGTAGACTTAGAAGTAAAGAGGCAATCAAAGACTTCCTTATAATTGAAGCTCAAATGATATGATTAATCATATCATTAATCAATCATATGATTGCGGAGGTCTATCCGCCATGTTGATTTACTTGAGTAATAAGTGATTAAGGACAGCGACTCCTCCCGGAAGGTTAAAAAGACCTGGCGCCAATAAATGATAACACGGTTGAGACTTGTTCTTGAAAACGATTTTTTGCTTAATTTTTGACCTAATGTAGGACTAGATATTTATAAAGAGTATTGCTATACCAGGAGTCATAAACAGGGACGGAGACCGTAAGCGCGAGCTATTTCTAGTATTGGGGTTGTCCCTATGATATGGGTCAATTTTGCTATTTTTAAAACAAATTGCGCCATCCCGTGCGGCACACGCGCGTACATGTTGCGAGGATTTTTGCGGATGTAGCGCGGGGAAATGGCGTCCGAAATTCCCGAAATGCTTGATGCTTTTGGCCCACAAATCAATACGTTCATGTCTGTTGGATTTTTGCTTCAGTATTTTCGTCGTAA